CAGAAGCCTTTTCTGCGCCCATGCCACAAAAAGAGTCGCTTGAGGTATGCTAAAGCACATTTGGACAAGCCAGCTTCATTTCGGAATAAGGGGCTGTGGACTGATGAAACTAAAATTTAGTTATTTGGACATAACAAGGGGTGGTATGCATGGCGGAAGAAGAACACAGCATTCCAAGACAAACACTTGCTACCCACAGTTAAATTTGGTGGTGTTCTATCATGCTGTGGGGCTGTGTGGGCAGTGTAGGTACTGGCAATCTTGTTAAAGTTGAAGGTCGCATGGATTCCAGTCAGTATCAGCAAATTCTTGCGAACAATGTTCAAGAATCAGTGACAAAGTTGAAGTTGCGCCAGGGCTGGATACTTCAACAAGACAACGACCCTAAACACTGCTCAAATTCTACCAAAGCATTCATGCAGAGGAACAAGTACAACATTCTGGAATGGCCATCTCAGTCCCCAGGCCTGAATATCATTGAAAATCTGTGGTCTGTTTTAAAGCGGGCTGTCCATGTTCAGAAACCATCAAACCTGACTGAACTGGAGATGTTGTAAAGAAGAATGGTCAAAAATACCTTCAGCCAGGATCCAGACCCTCATTGGAAGCTATAGGAAGCGTTTAGAGGCTGTTATTTCTGCAAAAGGAGGATCTACTAAATATTGATGTAATTTTTCTGTTGGGGTGCCCAAATGTATGCACCTGCCTACTTTTGTAATTATTGCACACTTTCTGTAAATCCTATAAACTTCATTTCACTTCTTAAATATCACTGTTTGTTTGCTACATGATATATTTAATTGAAATTGCTGTTGCGAAGAACCAATGATCGATAAAGGAAAATCTTCAAATTGATCAGGGGTGCCCAAACTTTTTCATAGCACTGTATATACATACATACATATATACATACATACAAACATACTCAAGTATATACAGTTGCAAGAAAAAGTATGTGAACCCTTTGGGATTACTTGGATTTCTGCAAAAATTGGTCCTAAAATATGTTCTGATCTTCATCAAGTCACATCACTAGACAAACACAGCGTGCTTAAACTAATACAACAGAAAAAATTATAAGTTTTCATGTTTTTATTGAACACAACATGTAAACATTCCCAGTGCAGGACGGAAAAAGTATGTGAACCTTTGGATTTGATAACTGCTTGACCCTCCTTTGGCAGCAGTAACCTCAACTAAATGTTTCCTGTAGTTGCAGATCATACCTGCACAACAGTGCAGGAATTCTGGACCATTCCTCTGTACAAAACTGTTCCAGTTCAGCAATATTCTTGGGATGTCTGGTGCGCATCGCTCTCTTGAGGTCATGCCTCAGCATCTCAATCAGGTTGAGGTCAGGACTCTGACTGGGCCACTCCAGACGGTGTATTTTCTTCTGTTAAAGCCATTGTGTTGTTGATTTCCTTCTATGCTTTGGGTCGTTGTCCTGTTGCATCAACAATCCTCTGTTGAGCTTCAGTTGTTGGACAGATAGTCTTAAGTTTTCCTGCAAAATGTCAAGATAAACTCGGGAATTCATTTTTCCGTCGATGACAGCAATCCATCCAGGCCCTGAGGCAGCAACGCAGCCCCAAACCATGATGCCCCCTCCACCATAATTCACAGTTGGGATGAGGTTTTGATGTTGGTTTGCTGGGCCTTTTTTCTCCACACAGAGTGTTGCATGTTCCTTCCAAACAACTCAATTTTGGTTTCATCTGTCCACAGAATATTTTGCCAGTAGTGCTGTTGAATATCCAGGTGCTCTTTTGCAAACTTAGAATGTGCAGCAATGTTTTTTTTTGGACAGCAATGGCTTCCTCTGTGGTGTCCTCCCATGAACTCCATTCTTGTTTAATGTTTTACTTATTGTATATAATGTTAGCATGTATAATGTTAGCATGTGCCAGAGATTTCTGTAAGTCTTTAGCTGACACTCTAGGAATCTTCTTCACGTCATTGAGCATTCTGCGTTGTGCTCTTACAGTCATCTTTACAGGACGACCACACCTAGGGAGAGTAGCAACAGTGCTGAACATTCTCCATTTGTAGACAGTCTGTCTTACCGTGGACACATGGACATCAAGGCTTTTAGAAATACTTTTGTTACCCTTTCCAGCTTAATGCAAGTTAACAATTCTTGATCGTACATCTTCTGAGAATTCTTTTGAGCGAGGCATGGTTCACATCAGCAATGCCTCTTGAGAACAGCAAACTCAAAACTGGTGTATTTTTTATAGGGCAGGGGAGCTTTAACCAGCACACCCAAACTCATCACATTGATTGGACTCCAGGTTGGCTGACTCCTGGCTCTTGGAGAAGTCATTAGCCTAGGGGTTCACATACTTTTTCAACCCTGCACTGTGAATGTTTACATGTTGTGTTCAATAAAAACATGAAAATGTATAATTTTTTGTGCGGTATTAGTTTAAGCAGACTTTGTTTGTCTGATGACGTGACAGAACAAATTTTATGTCCCAAAGGGTTCACATACTTTTTCTTGCAACTGTATTTGTATATATTTGCCCAATTCCCCAGTATTGGATCAATAAAGATCAAAAAATCAAATTAAACTCTATCTATCTATCTATCTATCTATCTATCTATATATATTATGGCATGCCGTTCAGGAAATTAATCTTTGAATATATATACAAAAAGTCTGAATATATATACAAAAAGTCTGAATATACAATATATATATTGTATATGTTGCTCTTTTCCTTTCTGGGAGACTACGTAATGATCGTCAGCACATTGGACAGCGTTATTAAATAATAACATATAGAAATAATATATTTCCAGACAAGTATTTATAGCGAATTATAACAATTTTTATCACCCTTAAATTATTCAGATTCAGAGTAAATAATTTTCCTTCTACTTCACAATTGTGTGTCGCTTTATGTTGATCTTTTATCTAAAATGCCAATAAAATATATTTATGTTTGTGGTCGGAACGTGACAGAATGTGGGAAAGTTCAAGGGGTATGAATACTTTTTCAAGCCACTGTATATACATACAGGGGTTGGACAGTGAAACTGAAACGCCTGGTGACCAAAAATTTGGCTATAGCAACCCGGCCATGTATATTGACCCTGTGGAGCTCCCGACGGACAGTTTTGGTGGAAACAGAGTTGAGGTGCATATTTAATTCTGCTGTGAGTTGGGCAGCTGTGGTTTTATGTTTTCTGGATACAATCCGGGTTAGTACCCAGACATCCCTTTCAGACAGCTTCCTCTTGCGTCCACAGTTACTCCTGTTGGATGTGGTTCATCCTTCTTGGTGGTATGCTGACATTGCCCTGGATGATTTGATCCATCACAAAGACTTGCTGTCTTGGTCACAGATGTGCAAGCAAGACTAGCACCAACAATTTGTCCTCTTTTGAACTCTGATATGCCACCCATAATGTTGTGTGCATTGCAATATTTTAAGCAAAACTGTGCCATTACTCTGCTAATTGAACCTTCACACTCTGCTCTTACTGGTGCAATGTGCAATCAATGAAGTTTGGCCACCAGGCTGGTCGAATTTAGCCATGAAACTTTCAACACTAAATTGGCCAGGTCATTGTCCAACCCGTGTATATTCTTAGACAATAACATAACTTGTGGTTTTGACTGTGAATCTTGAAATATTATCAGCTGTAAATAAATCCAATAAAAAACATTTTACATACCATATATTTTTAATTACCCTTTGTTTATGTTTTAAAAGAAGACAATTTATGTTCTTTGAATGTCTTTATCTTCAGTATCCAACATGCCCCAGCAGAGGTCAGACCAGACCATGATGCACCCAGCCACAGCAGCAGGACCACCTATTGTAGCACCAAGTCCCGCCTATACTGCCCAGTACTTCACCTGCAGCCCACAGCAGTTCACCAGTCAGCCACTGGTCCAGCAGATGACCCACTACCAGTCACAGGTCAGGGGTCATCAGTGTCTTTACTAACAATCCGCTTGAATAACACCTACATTTGATGAACATGTTTATTGAAGTAAGAAAATGGACAATTCTATCCAGTTTCTCCACCACTGGGTGCAGCACATGTGATCCGTGGGAACTGAACGTTGGTCATGTTGTGTGTTCTGCAGGCGCAGCATGTGTTCAGTCCAGTGATGCAGAGCAGTGCCAGAATGATGGCTTCCACACACGGACAACCCAGCCTCGTCTCTTCTTCAACCGCACAGTACCCAGAGCAGACACACACAATGTATAGTAAGTTCACCCGCTGCTCTGTATCAGTCTGCCAGTCCGGGCAAAACCATACACTGTTAGGTCTTTTATTTGGATTATAGACTGTATGTAGGGGATATATACAGTATATATACAGTATAATAAATATATATAATATATATATTATTATTATATATATATTATATATATATATATATATAATATATATATATATATTATATATATATATATATATAATATATATATAATAATAATATATATATTATATATATTTATTATACTGTATATATACTGTATATATCCCCTACATACAGTCTATAATCCAAATAAAAGACCTAACAGTGTATGGTTTTGCCCGGACTGGCAGACTGATACAGAGCAGCGGGTGAACTTACTATACATTGTGTGTGTCTGCTCTGGGTACTGTGCGGTTGAAGAAGAGACGAGGCTGGGTTGTCCGTGTGTGGAAGCCATCATTCTGGCACTGCTCTGCATCACTGGACTGAACACATGCTGCGCCTGCAGAACACACAACATGACCAACGTTCAGTTCCCACGGATCACATGTGCTGCACCCAGTGGTGGAGAAACTGGATAGAATTGTCCATTTTCTTACTTCAATAAACATGTTCATCAAATGTAGGTGTTATTCAAGCGGATTGTTAGTAAAGACACTGATGACCCCTGACCTGTGACTGGTAGTGGGTCATCTGCTGGACCAGTGGCTGACTGGTGAACTGCTGTGGGCTGCAGGTGAAGTACTGGGCAGTATAGGCGGGACTTGGTGCTACAATAGGTGGTCCTGCTGCTGTGGCTGGGTGCATCATGGTCTGGTCTGACCTCTGCTGGGGCATGTTGGATACTGAAGATAAAGACATTCAAAGAACATAAATTGTCTTCTTTTAAAACATAAACAAAGGGTAATTAAAAATATATGGTATGTAAAATGTTTTTTATTGGATTTATTTACAGCTGATAATATTTCAAGATTCACAGTCAAAACCACAAGTTATGTTATTGTCTAAGAATATACACGGGTTGGACAATGACCTGGCCAATTTAGTGTTGAAAGTTTCATGGCTAAATTCGACCAGCCTGGTGGCCAAACTTCATTGATTGCACATTGCACCAGTAAGAGCAGAGTGTGAAGGTTCAATTAGCAGAGTAATGGCACAGTTTTGCTTAAAATATTGCAATGCACACAACATTATGGGTGGCATATCAGAGTTCAAAAGAGGACAAATTGTTGGTGCTAGTCTTGCTTGCACATCTGGGACCAAGACAGCAAGTCTTTGTGATGGATCAAATCATCCAGGGCAATGTCAGCATACCACCAAGAAGGATGAACCACATCCAACAGGAGTAACTGTGGACGCAAGAGGAAGCTGTCTGAAAGGGATGTCTGGGTACTAACCCGGATTGTATCCAGAAAACATAAAACCACAGCTGCCCAACTCACAGCAGAATTAAATATGCACCTCAACTCTGTTTCCACCAAAACTGTCCGTCGGGAGCTCCACAGGGTCAATATACATGGCCGGGTTGCTATAGCCAAATTTTTGGTCACCAGGCGTTTCAGTTTCACTGTCCAACCCCTGTAAGCTGTGACTCTGCTGCTGCCTTAAACATCAGCCAGGGCCGTCAGTGGAGCAGAGAAGAAACCAAAACAGCCGTTGTTTTCCCACCGGGAGTTAGCCAGGATTTCTGGGATACAGGGATGTAAACTCTACATTCTGCTACGCACTGATATCACTGTCCTGTAGCAAATTGGTAGCAGTTTCTCGAGACCCACAGAAAGTTGCAGTATCTCGGGGTTTGGGAGCAAATCTCAGCTCTCGGGTTCAAGCAGCCGAGAGCCAGGTTTACGTTTACGCTGGCCCAAATCCATCCAATCCCCACTTTAACCTCCGTATCCCCTCGTCTGCTGTATCTGTTTTCAGCCCACTCACACATGCTGACTACGGTGGCTCCTAACGGACTAAATGAGGGCCACTTAGGTGACGGTATTAGGCTTCGATAGCAGAGTGACAGGGAGGAGACTTACGGTAAGTCCACATAAGTCCTCGCCCCTCTCTCAGCATCTCTTTTGTATTTGCCTTTTATGATGCTCGTCACCATATCTGCCCCACTCTATTTGAATGTTTTTATGTATTCTTGCCCCAACCTCTCCACCCCCTCCTCTCTATTTTTCCTGTTCTTTCTTCGTCTTCTTACTCTCCGAGTCAGGTCTCATATGGGGTCTGTGTGCAGACTTCAGTCGCCACATCTGAATTATTCAGGAGGGATTTTACCTTAAAATGCTGTCAAAACAACAGCATCGCTGTCACACCTTCCCCTCGGATTTACTTTGCAATTATCCTGTCGAAACATTTCTGACTGAAACAGAAGAAGAAACTTTTCTCTTTTTTTCACCCAATATCCACGAAGATATTGTAGAGATTGTATTTTGTGCTTTTATAATAAAACATTTGAGTGTTTATTAACTAAATCCAACATAACTGGTTGTACAGGGAGATAGAGAACAACAATAACCCTGTTACAGTGGGACACCTCTGGTTCCTGTGCCAGCTCTTCTAGGTGTGTGTCCTTGACCTAATTTTCCATCAATCATGACTTTTCCTCCTCCAGTGTTGTCTCCTATAAACTGTGCTTTTGTCATCATACCATATCTCACTGCCGCCAATTGACCTGTTTTCAAAACCTTTTAAATTCCCAGAATCTATCTGCACAAGAAATGTTTTTCTGACAATATTTTGTGTGACAATATTCTTCTTCATAGTGAATATGAAGTATAACAAAAATAACAGGAATAAAGCATACGATTACCCGTTTTTAATTATTAGTTGTGGTTCCTGCCGTGGGAGCTTCAAAAAGAATCAGAGACGAACAGTAGAGGGCAGAGCTAATAATACACATTTATAATCAGCTTTAATTATATGTTTGCTAGAAGCTGACTGTCCTATGGCAACAGACTCCTACAGTATGGGAACCAGCAGCGTCGACATGCTGAATCAGAGCCGGCAGTAAATTTCAGCTTACTGGTTTAAGGTTGAACGCCGCATAAATACAGTGATTAAACCACAAATCACAGCAATTCTCTGAGAAAACTAATTGGAGTTTATATCACAGACAGGCGACTGATTCAAAGTCATCAAAAAACAAAGACGTCTTTCTCCAGCACACGGGACCTCGAACCTCAAAACTGCTAAAATACTTCCAGGACCATTAATCTTCCCTCCGTGGTGTATTTTTCTAACCTAACCAAACATGTCACATGTCACTGGTTATTAGTCGGTTCCAGAACTGTTTGACAGGTGCAGACTGTCACATGGCCCACATTTACAGTACATTTGTACACGTAAGAAGCTGAGAAAGAAACACGTTTTTAAGTCCACTCACTTTTTCTTTAAAATCAACATTAATATTTAACATATACTATAAATATATTTCAGTTTCAAGCAGCCATTGGTTCATGTTCGTTTGACATTTTACTGTACGAGTTTGAATGTTTGTTCTCTATATGTGGCCTGGACTGAATATATACAAATATATATAAATATACAAAGCTGTTGTTAGGAAAATGACTTCATTTTCATTTTCAATTATTGGTACAGCAAAACAGATCTGATCTAAACTCCTGATTTTCAGTCAAGTCTGAAGTTTAAAAAAATAGTAACATTTAAAGATTTGTCTAAATGTTTTTTTTGACTAGTTTTAAGCTTTTTCCCTGCTACTATTCTTTGTCTTTTGTAAATCATAGTTAAACATACTATACTTATACTATACTTGTTGTATAAATATATATATACATATATGTATATATACATATGTATATACTTATGTATATAATATTAGCCATTTATCCATTTTGAAATCCTACACCTCTTCAAACAACATTCAAGTCCTGCATTAATTATCGTTGCTTTTTATAATTATAATTATATAATATAACAATAATATGATAATAATAATAATTATTATTATTATTAACATGGATTTCAATATTTCAAAAGTATCTGTAAACTGGCACTGAATGAAGTTGCCCAAAACACCTCAAACACCTCCCATGTGCCTTTGTCTACTTTTTGAGGTGAACGTTTTTGACCGACTTTGTCCTGGTTTTCTTGGGTGCAGGGAATGGTTCTGATGCCACCATATACACTGGAGATCAAAATTAGAGAACAAGTCATAAAAAATGGAATAAATCTGAAATAATACCATCTTCACTGTTCCACAGTTAAATGACATTTTATTGTGTCTATATCATTGTACTACAACACTTTTTTTCACAAAATGACTAAAGGTATTTCGCAAAAAAAATATTTTCCAGAAAATGCACTGATCAAAATTAGAGAACACTTTCAGGTGCCTCCCACTTAATGGTGCTAATCAAGCACATGGTGCTAATTTCCTTGATTATCTGTCAACCCTTATTTAACTGGCATTCTAACTGCTAGTTTCACTGACTTTGCAAGATGGTGGGCCGTTCTAAAGTGACTGAAGGCCTCCGGCAGCAGGTTGTCCAGATTAAAACCAACGGGATGACCCTATCAGCCATAGCAAGACAAGTTGGTCGTTCCAAATCTGTGATTTCAAGAATATTGAATCTTTACAAAACTACAAACTCATTCAAGTCGCCCAAGAAGGCTGGTCGTCCACGAAAGACAGATGCAAGAGAGGACAGGTCACTGCGGAGGATGTCAATGGGTAATCGTTTCCACACTGCAGCTGGAATTGCTCGCCATTTCAGTGCTGAACATGGTAAGGATCTGTCTCGCCATACAGTGTCTCGCCGTTTAACAGCATTTGGACTGAAGGCCCACACTGCAGTGACCAAACCTCTCATTAGCCGAAAAAATCAAAAAGCTAGACTGAGCTTTGCTGAGGAGCATGTTGTGTGGACTGAGGAGAACTGGTCCAGAGTTCACTTCAGTGATGAAAGCAAATTTAATTTATTTGGGTCTGATGGGAAGCATTATGTTCGGCGACACATTGGAGAAAGACTAAACCCAAAGTGTGTTAAAAAGTCAGTGAAAGGTGGAGGAGGAAGTGTCATGGTTTGGGGCATGTTTTCTGCAGCAGGAGTTGGGCCTCTTGTACAGCTACATGGCCGAGTGAATGCAAATGTGTATCAGAACCTTCTTCAACAGCACATGGTTCCTCACTTGCGTTCATCGCCCAATCAGCCTGCAATCTTCATGCAGGACAATGCCCCGTGTCACACAGCAAAACGGGTAAAGATTTTCCTTGAAGGTCAAAACATTGAATTAATGGCATGGCCTGCCCAGAGTCCTGATCTCAATCCAATAGAGAACCTCTGGAAAATCCTAGGTGACAAAGTTATGGCCAAGAAACCCACTACAATCACCGAACTGTGGAGGAGACTGGAAGAAGAATGGACCAAAATCACACCAGAGCAGTGTGAGAGACTAGTGCTATCCTGTGGCCGCAGATGTGCTGAAGTCATTCACAGCAGAGGCCTGTATACTTCTTATTAATTGCTGACTGTTGTAACCTTCAGATTTTTTTTTCCAAGACAAAGTCATGGTTGTTCTCTAATTTTGATCACTTGTGTTCTCTAATTTTGATCAGTGCATTTTCTGAAAATATTTTTTTTGCGAAATACCTTTAGTCATTTTGTGAAAAAAAGTGTTGTCGTACAATGATATAGACACAATAAAATGTCATTTAACTGTGGAACAGTGAAGATGGTATTATTTCAGAATTATTCCATTTTTTATGAGTTGTTCTCTAATTTTGATCTCCAGTGTATATATACATATAATATATATACATACATATAATATATATACACATGCATATAATATATATACACATACATATATATATATTGTATGCATAGTATATATATATATATATATGTATATAGAGGCAAACAAAAACATGAATGCTCATCTAAATTTCAAAAAATACGAACCTTTTTAAAAGAAAATGCAATTTAAACTTGGTTCTCTCATCAATTATTATTCTCATGCAATACTGCCTTAGAACTCTAGGATCAGATGTACCTAAGACACAGAGTAATTAAGCCTGCTGTACAAACTTCACTGTGTATGTATTCCATAATGCATAAAATTTTGGTGGTGGCGCCCTAGGCAACCGCCTATGTGATCTAAGCCAGAAGTCAGCTCTGACCAGGAGTTATTTTCTGACTTAAAAACACAAAGGTGTCCAAATAAACCCTTTCAATTAAGCCAAAAGACAATGTTTTAATAACCCAACAGACAATGAGGGACAGAAAAAGTTCTTCTCACCTTTACCTGGTCTGTAAGGTTTAGACTGGCTGACCGTCATGTGGGGCATCTGGACCTGATACATGGCTGGAGACTGGAGGGAAGAGGCGGTTGAAGAAAACAGGGTTACACTCTGTGGACTCAGGAGACCTAAGCATCACAGTGTAAAACTGACCTTGACTGTCTGTTTTAAACGTGTTTTTAGGTAGACAAAACATGAAAAATATATTTCTAAAATTCATATTGTGGATTTTTTTAATGATCCGTTTTTCACTTCTCTCTTACCTGGGGGACACATGCATCATCTACATCTGTCTAATTACAGCTGTGACCTGGATGATGCGCTTTATCCTCTGGTCCTTTATACAGTATCATACACCATGCATTTATGTTCTAATGTAACCGTAACAGTACTGTGGCCAAAACAAAGGGGCGTAACCTCCCGTTATCTCACAGCCATTTGTTTAGTCAAACACATGAAGCCAATAGATTTAGGATGGAGCCATCTGTGTCAAATTAATTGCAATAAGAACATCTGATGGCATTATTTCAACAAGCAGACAAAACATATCAGAAATGAAATTGGGCAGATTTAACCAAAAATAAAGTTAAAAAAATAGAAATCTTCACAAACCTTCCATATTATGCTTTTCTAATGGAGCAAGAGAGAAAAGGAGGAGGAGGATGGGGAGAAAAGGGAAACAAGAACCACTTTTTAGTTGTTCATCAGGTTAAGGTTTACGTTTACAGGTCTGTCTGTCTGATGTTGGATCACCAAGTGTTTCTTAAAGCAACACACAAACAACATGACAGTAAAACAACTCTCATTAGAAACAGAATACACACGTTCCTCTACATTTGAAGATGCAGTAAAATTAAATCAAATAGCAAAGACTGAGAGGATGTGTAGTGTGTGGAGAAGAAAATGAAGCGGGGGATGATGAGGGACCGAAGATAGATGAAAGACAGAAAAAAAAATACAGAAACACAGAAGTAAGCAGTCCTACTGTAGACCTCTGACTAATTATTATTACTTGAATAATTCAATTTTATAATTTGTATGAATTCAGTGATGCTGAACAGCACCGCATAGAGCTGCAGGTCCCAGCATGCACCTGTGCCTTACCTGCACTCCAGGGCTGACTGAAGTGAGCGGGTACATTTGTGGGAAGCAGACTGGCTGACCATAGATTGTAGGGGGCTGCTGTACAAGGATGGAGGGGCTGGGCTGACCCTGAGGCCGAGGAGGGGTCGGGGTGTTGGCTGGTTTGGGCTGAAAGAGCAAAAATGGTAAGAAAAAAAAAATCTAATCTTCAGTTTGATGTGAAGGTATAGGTCCATACTGACCTGTGTGTTGAACCGGGGTTTGAACTCATTGGCATTTGGATTCAGGGTTGATTTTCCTACTTGGCTGCAGAAGGAAATAACACCACCACAGTGAATAAACTTTTAAAGATATTTTTCTTTGACTACACACTGCATCAGAGTATCAGTTGCATCTGTCAAAAATGTGTTGCAAAGAGCAAAAAACAAGTGGCACCAGTCAAGAGGTAATTAATTTTGAAACATTTACTTCATATGTATCCAAAAATGTAGACTTCATATGGAAACACTTTATTTACATAATGGCCTTAAACATAGGCTAAATATATTACCATAAAACAGGCTAAGAGACAAGTCTGGCTGGAAGTGTAAAGTTATACATCGTCCTGTGTATAACTGTAAACCTTTTCCCTGCCTATTGCTACTGTCTCTAAACCATACATCATGGCTGGTCTCACCACTGTCCTGTAAACCTTTCCCTTCACCTTAGCTGACACTCTTCTGCCACCGATCACTCCTGACACTTTTCTCCAGCTGTTCCATCCTGCCTGTACTCTATTCTTCACCTCTCTTCCACAGTCTCCGCTGCTCTGAACAGTTGATCCTAAGTACCTAAACTCCTGCACCTTCACCACCTCTGCTCCTTGTAGCCTCACTATTTCACTGTTCTGCCTTTCGTTTACACACATGTACTCTGTCTTGCTGCGACTGACCTTCATTCCTCTTCTTTCTAGTGCAAACCTCCACCTCTCTAGGTTCTCTTCTAGCTGCTGCCTACTCTCACTACAGATCACAATGTCATCTGCAAACATCATAGTCCATGGGGACTCCTGTCTGACCTCATCTGTCAATCTGTCCATCACCACAGCAAACAAGAAGGGGCTCAGGGCCGATCCTTGATGTAGTCCCACCTCCACTTTGAAGTCTTCTGTCCTCCCAACAGCGCACCTCACTACTGTTGTACTATTCTCATACATGTCCTGCACCAAACTAACATACTTCTCTGCCACTCCTGACTTCCTCATACAAAACCACAATTCCTCCCTTGGCACTTTGTCATATGCCTTTTCTAGATCTACAAATACACAATGCAGCTCCTTCTGACCTTCCCTGTACTTCTCCATCAACATCCTCAAGGCAAATATTGCATCTGTGGTACTCTTCCTAGGCATGAAACCATACTGTTGTTCACAAATCTCCACTTCCTGCCTCAACCTAGCTTCAACTACTCGTTCCCAAATCTTCATTGTATGGCTCATCAACTTTATCCCTCTGTAGTTGTTACAACTCTGTGCATCACCCTTCTTATGAATTGGCACCAGAACACTTTTTCTCCACTCATCAGGCATCTTGCCAGTCTCTAAAATTCTGTTAAACAAACCAGTCAGGAAATTTACTGCCACTTCTCCTAAACACTTCCATACTTCCACTGGTATGTCATCAGGACCAACTGACTTTCCACTCTTCATCCTCTTCAGGGCTTTTCTAACTTCATCCTTTCTAACCTGATCTACCTTCTTCCTACTAGTCTCTGGCTCCTCGTTTCTACTTTCCCTTTCATTTTCCTCATTTAACAACTCCTCAAAGTATTCCTTCCATCTTCTCAGCACACTTTCCTCACTTGTGATCACATTCCCCTCTCTGTCCTTAATCAACCTCACCTGCTGCACATCCTTCCCAGCTTGATTTCTCTGTCTCGCCAATCTATACAACTCCTTTTCTCCTTCCTTTGTTTCCAAACTCTCATACAACTCCTCATATGCCTTTTGTTTGGCCTTGGCCACTTCCCTCTTCACCTCCCTTGTCCTCTCTTTGTACTCCAGTCTGTTCTCTTCTGTTCTGTCACTGTCCCATCTCTTCTTCGCTAATCTCTTTCTCTGCACACTCTCCTGGATCTCCTCATTCCACCACCAGGTCTCTTTGTCCTCCTTTCTCTGCCCAGAGGACATACCTAGCACCTTCCTACCTGTCTCCCTCATCACTGCAGCTGTAGTCTCCCAATCATCTGGGAATATCTCAACACTACCCAGAACTGCCCTTACTTCCTTCCTGAAGTCTTCACAACATGTCTCTTTCCTTAGTTTCCACCACTTGATCTTCTGCTCTGTCTTCACTCTCTTCCTTTTTGTCACCTCCATCGTCATTTTACACACTACCATCCGATGTTGTTTGGCTACACTCTCACCTGCCACCACCTTACAGTCTCTAATCTCCCTCAGATTACATCTTCTACATAGAATATAATCTATCTGTGTGGACCTGCCTCCACTCTTGTAAGTCACCCTATGTTCCTCTTTCTTTTGGAAATATGTGTTTACCACAGCCATTTCCATTCTCTTTGCAAAATCTACCACTGCCTGTCCTTCTACGTTTCTCTCCCTAACACCAAACCTGCCTATCACTTCCTCATCTCCTCTGTTCCCTTCCCCTACATGACCATTTAGGTCTGCTCCAATCACCACTCTCTCTCTCCTGGGGATACTCTCTACCATCCAATCTAGCTCCTTCCAGAACTTCTCCTTTTCTTCCAACTCACAGCCCACCTGTGGGGCATAACCACTAACAACATTAATCATCTCTCCTTCTACTTCTACCTTCACACACATCAACCTGTCTGACTCTCTTTTCACCTCTACCACATTTCTTACATATTCTTCCTTTAGGATCACCCCTACTCCATTTCTCTTCCCATCTGAACCATGATAAAACAGTTTGTAGCCTCCTCCAATGTTTCTAGCCTTACTGCCCTTCCACCTGGTCTCCTGCACACACAAAATATCTACTCTTCTTCTCTCCATCACATCAGCTATTTCTCTACTTTTCCCTGTCATTGTACCTACATTCAAAGTTCCAAACTTCAGACTAACACTTCTATTCTTCATCTTTTCTCTTTTTCTCCTAACCAAACGCCCTCCTCTTCTTCTCTGTCTCTGACCAACAGTAGTCCAATTTCCATCAGTGCCCTGTTGGTCAACGGCACTGTTGGCGGTCGTTGTTAACCTGGGCCTCGACCGATCCGGTATGGAAATCGTTTGAGTGATTTGCATATTTGATTTGGCTAAAAGTTTTACGCCAGATGCCCTTCCTGACGCAACCCTCACCATTTATCCGGGGTTGGGACCGGCACTATAAAACACTGATTCGTGTACCCTAGTGGCTGGTAAATGTTCTATGTAGTTTTAAAATAAACTCTTTTAACAAACACATTTGATAATTACACCAAGGACTAAGTACATATAAAACGTATTTCTCTACTCACTCTTGTACTGCCTCCTTTTTGTCCTCCTTTTCTTCATGCTTGGGCCCACTGAATGTGGACGTGCCCGTCGTCTGAACCCCCTGTGAAGTCACATCCATTCCTGTCCTCTTGATGTCCAGGGTTGATGGAGACAGGGAGAGTGCAGCAGGGCTGCCAGGTTTATTGGTGTTTGTGGTGGTGGATGAAGCGGTGGCGCTGCCGAGGCCGCTGGCAGCGATCACTGCGACGCCTTCCTCGGTGCCATCTCGTCCCACTGTGGATGTTTTGTCCGTAGGAAGATCTTTAGGTTTGTCTGCTGGATCTCTGGGAGGCTTGGTCATCATCTGGTCAAGGGTGGGGTCTGGATTTGAACTAGACTGCAACTGAAAGGACGGATGAAGAAAAGAGAATGTATTCTCAAACACCACCTTGGTTTAGCAAACAATACTAGTTTAGCAAGATTTAAAGCATCTTTATACTTAATATAAATGCATTGAATACTTACCCTAAAATCTACACTGAATTTCTTTAAATTATCTATTTGTTTTCTGTGGCCTGAGGCCATAGAAGGGGGTCCTGAAAGGCAAATAGAAGGAGGAAGACACAGATGGAAAAAAAAACCAATCAGTAATGGCACTGATTCTGGAAACACATGAGACAAACTTATGTTAAAATGTTTAGTAAACAAAAAACAAAACAAGTGTCTTAAAATAAAGGTCTCTTCATCAAGTCATTGTAATAAACCTGCTCCTGTGCAGTGTGTGCTGTACCTTTACATACTGGTCTGCTGATACTAGGTGAGCTGTCCAAGGGCTTGATGTTCTCTTTGTTAGCAGAGGGGGATGTTTGTTTGTTCTCCTGAATACGACATTCTTTTGCTACACAAAATACAGGGAAAAAATGTTTACACTGTCCAGACACAAGAGCTGAGACAACATCCAGTGCTTCTGAGAGAAACAACAGAGAAGATGGATTCATTAACTGCTCCATCTCCAAAATGAGACCAACAGCACAACCCAGGTCAGAGACATGAAAGACATAACCCATCCCTGACAAGTGGGTTTTTTTTTTGTTATCTGACCTTAATCAAATAACACTAGACATCATTGCAGAAATATTTGCAATATCCTCAAAAAATAAATCAATGCTATTGAGCATGAATATTTGTTTTTAAAGTAAAGACTAAGAAGTTTGGACACATTTTTGTCACTCAAAGTTATCAATGATCTTACCATCTCCTGATGAAGACGCGACCATGTTGGGAGCGGTGCTTGCAGCAATAGGAGAAGCTGACGTTGGTGCAGCAAGAGTTTCCACAGGAGCAGCTCCTATTTGAGGGGACAGGGAAGAGGAGCCAGGGGAGGCTCCGCCCACACTGTTCTGTCGAGGAGACCGAGGTCTGTGAGCTGAGGACAGAAGACGTATAACAATTATTGACTATCAAAAGTCTGCTTTATTTGGAAGCCTTGTTTTTTGTGACAGGTCGTCCAGTGATATGGCACTGTCATATTGCACTGTGATGTCTAATGTCATTTACAGGTATTCAAAACAAAAATGTTCCACTGTGAGGTATCCATGTTATTCAGCATTCATATTTTTAAAAAGAAGAGTCTACCTCCACTAACTACTGAGGACCACGTCCCTCCAGAAGAGCTGTTCCTCGTCGGTGGAGTCACTGGGACATCTCCTGCAGCATTGTGGGAAATTAAGTCTACTCCTGATGGTATACCACTGGTCCTGCAGGGCGGCCCTCTGTGAGTACGTGGTGTACGCTGGGATTTTGGAGACATCCTGGGTGGACCTGAGGACAAGAACAGATGACATTTCACAAAAAAAAAAACCCGAGTGTTGAAATCGGATTAACAATCTAAGTTTTCAACCATCCCACTGTGGATTCTTCTGATGCTCATCTGTGACCTTTTAAAATCCCAATAAATCCAACTGGATATTATTTCATGTGTTTTTGTACAGTGGTGTTAATTGGTGATATGCATGTTAGTGTACAACTTCTTGAAAACCCTGATAAGTGATCAAAATAAAATCACTCCTCACACCGCAATCAGGTGACGTAAAGGACAAGAAACAAGGAAAGAGATGAGAGGTGGTGAAGTGAAAGCCAGAAAATCAATCATTTATCTTTGTGTTTGTTTCACAAGCAACACTCTGAGAGACCTCTTGCTAGAAAGTACCTGCTTGTAAATAAAAGCCTGATGCAATTTTATCAGAATCTGACTCATAAAACAGTCCCTACTTCTGCTGAGCTCTGACCACAAGATGTCAATGCAGCGATGCAACAGGTTCTTAAAACTTCGAACTATTCAATACATTTCAAGCAGTAGCAAAACAGCTTATTTACTTCTAAAAGCATAAACTCTATACCTGTATCCACAGATGTACAGAAACTATAACGTTCTAGGAAGCTGTTTATCCCACTTCCATCAAATGTAATGTAAAACAGGTGTTGCCTAGTTGGTCATTTTTTGAGGGGTGTATGTATGTACAGTGGTATGAAAACGTTTGGGCACCCCTGATCATTTTCAAGATTTTCCTTTATGGATCATTGGTTGTTCGGAACAGCAATTTCAATTCAATATATCATATAGCAAACAAACAGTTTATATTCACATATTTAAGAAGTGAAATTAAGTTTATAGGATTTACAGAAAGTGTGCAATAATTACTTAAACAAAAGTAGGCAGGTGCATAAATTTGGGCACCCCAACAGAAAATTACATCAATATTTAGTAGATCCTCCTTTTGCAGAAATAGCAGCCTCTAAATGATTCCAATGAGGGTCTGGATTCTGGTTGAAGGTATTTTTGACCATTCTTCTTTACAAAACATCCCCAGTCCAGTCAGGTTTGATGGTTTCCGAGCATGGACAGCCCACTTTAAAACAGACTACAGATTTTCAATGATATTCAGGTCTGGGGACTGAAATGGCCATTCCAGAACGTTGTACTTGTTCCTCTGCATGAATGCTTTGGTAGAATTTGAGC